AGGAGGGGCGAACTCGCCATTTTCCAGGTCCTTTTCTGAGCCTTTCAAGCCTCACAAAAGGTCCTGGAAGCTGGCGATTTTGCCCGTGCTGGCCGTGTGGGGGGGTTGGGGGAGTGTGGCAAGGGTCCGAGTGAGCCTTCCAGGACCCTTGGGAGGCTCCCCTACCCCCACGGGGCCAGGGCAGGTGAAATCGCCAGCTTTCTTTTGAGGCTTGGGAAGCTTCAGAAGAGTCTCTGAAGGTGGTGATTTCGCCCCCTCTGGCCCCCGGGGGGGGCATGGTGAGCCTCCAAAGGGTCCTAGGGTGTGTTCCATAAGACGGACCTCTCCATAAGGCTCACCAAATTTTTAGGAGAAGAAAACAGATTATTATTTTCCTGTTTTCTTCTCCTAAAAATTTGGTGCGTCTTATGGAGAGGTGTGTCTTATGGAGCAAAAAATACGGTAATTAATGTTTTTAAGGCGTCTTTAAATTTTTCCTCAGCAGTTTTTGTGGCTACGGTTCCATGCTCTGGTACTCATTAAGAAACAGCCTTTAAGAAACTAGAATTAAGTATAGTTTCCTTGACAAGTATTGAAATATCACATGAGACCCATCTTTTAAGAACCATGCAAAATGCTGTATAACTCTCTGAAAAAAATCATAAGGATATACAGGGCATTATTACGATGTAATCATTGCCAATGACATATCAAAGATCTGTGATGTGGATTATGTGTTTTGAAGGAGTGGTGACCTATGTGGACGATATTTCAGAAGAAAGCTAAGCATCTATATTTGAAATGCTGCCCGGACCAAGTTGAGCTGAATAATAAAGAACCTCAGGAAGAAGAGGTGGGAATGCCCATAAACAATTAGTCCCTAGAGAGCAGAAAGTACAGGAACTTAAGTCACAGCCTTCCTCATGGTTAAGTCTACTGTATTTCTATTTAAATTTAGCAAATATTTCTCAATGTGCATATCTACATATACATTAGCATATGCCCCTTCTGTGTAATTGGTGACCTGTTTTGTGATGATGAATTTCTGCTTTTTGAAGTTATGATAAGTGTCCAGCCTTGGGAGCTGTCCCAGAAAAAGACTAGGAACCAGTTTTGAGCAGCCAATTGTGAAAAGGAGAATGGGGGACAGGAATCAGATTCCTTGAGCATTGCAGGAATCTCCCCCTGTTCAGTTTTTGCCATCTATATGAAAATGGCAACTTTTTCCAAGAAGTATCTGAACACAACGGTGATAAACAGAAGGAGCTCAATCAACAAATCAAATAAAGAGGTGATGATTATGTGTTTGGACTTCTAAGGACTTGTTGTGAAGCAGGGGAGGGGAGGAGCTAGAGAGGGGCTTCTGAGGTTCTTTCATCCAGCAGGGAGAGAAGCTGAAACCTTGCATCACAGATCAGGCATAGTGGCTGAAGAGCTGGAGTTGTCCTATTCAGAAAAGTATTCACCACCAAATCTGACAGGATGTGTGTGTGGGGGGGGCAACTGTTCCATGTTTTGGGTGAGAACTGAAGTATAAAACTTTTCTCAGGCACATCCTGAAGTCAAGAAGCTGACAATGTGCCTGATAAACAGCAAGCATTTGATCTCAGACTCGTCGAGAGACACAAGTGTGACACCAACACAAGAGGAATTCTATAGAAGGCAGAGCTTGAAAATGTTGCTGTTTTGGGCTGGAGGCTTCTTCAACTTGTGGTCTAAAAACGTTTCCCAACTCTGATCTAAAGGGCTATTGCTGAAAGCAATAATGAAATCTAGCATTGGCAATGTAATTGTTTTAGCGTATTCCTAAGCACTGAGTTTAGTGGGACGTGCTGCCTAGCAAGAGTGGCCTAGGATTGCAGCCTTTGAGTCCCTTATACAGAGTCATTATTAATTTAAGGAGAAGCCTATGCAGAAGTCAAAGGGATTTTAGAGAATGTTGTAGATGTTGCAAGGGGACTGGTCAGCAGGAATCTTGTTCTACCTCCATCATCTGAGGCCTGGTCTACACATACAGCAGAAGGAAGCAGATGGTGGAATAGATAAACTATCATTTCAGACTACAGGTAGTGGACTGCATTGTTGAATGCTTCTCAGTGGGGCAAGGGCAGTGCCCATAGATATATTTCTGCAATAGCCAGGACTGTATCATTACAACTGGAGCTACCACTGCCAATTGCCCTGTGTCCCTCTTTAGAAACAACACTCTAAGCATACTGTTTGAATTTCTTATACTACTGTATTCCTCAACATAGGATCACTGGGGCATTGCAGGAAATAAAAACTGTATACTGCCAACAGGAGTGTAAATGCCCCAGGGCACACTAGGCATCTTGCCAACATTCGAGGAGGCTCAGCAGAGAGCATGTTACAAGAAGACCCCTTAATTCTGGACCTGTTCCCACTTTCAGTCTTGAGACAGTCCAGTCCAATGAAGATGGTAATTTCCAAAACTAGTGTGAAGGAACCTCTTCTGGCTGTTAGGTTCCTGTTGCTTTATGCTTTGCCGGAGGGGAATGGTTAGCAACTGGGCCACTTCAAGGTGTCTTGCTGTCCCATGAGTTTCGCTCGCTTACCGCTGCTACCCCTTGGTCTTCTCTTTCCTGCTGCCGCCGCCACCTCTGCACCCAAAAAA